ATTTTTATCATTAGTCATCAACTCTAATATTTTTCTAGTGCACTGTTGTTGACCATATAAAGTGATAAAGAAAGAATTGCCTTGCAAAATATTTGAAATAGATTTAACATGTGAATAACTCTTTGATTCTGTTGAATATAAAACATAAGAAAAAGGTAGCACTTCGTCAAAATGAGATGATTTTTGATTTCCCTGTATTGCTCTAAGAGACAGTAATATTTCTGACATTTTTCTATTTGAACTTGATATATTTCTTAATTTTTCTTTATCAAATAATACTTTATTCGGATGACTATCAAGAAATGCATTGATTTTTTTCTTGAATTCGCCGGACTTTATCAGGATCATCATTAGTTTCTTCTTCTTCTTCATTGAGGGATTCACATGCTGTCATCTGCGTGCGGAAAATTCCATAATCACTATCATCATCTTCTTCTTCGTTTTCGTCCTGATCTAGGATTATTTTAATAATCATATTAAGTTCTTTTGAAGTTGATTTTGTAATTAAAGACGAACTTAAATCGTTATAAATAGTATTATATTCAGCATCAATGATTGTATTAATATCACCGAGAATTGCTTTTATCTGTGGATCAGTAGGTTTTGATTTTGTTATTTCTATAAATTTTTTGCAAGAATTTTCTTTGATTTTGGATACATCCTAGCTTATTTCCAAATTGTTAAAGAGTTTATATTGCGTAACTAACTGATTTATTACATGTTTTGCTTGTTGGATAACTAAATTTTGAGTTTCATCAAACATATTCATCGAATGTCTGAAACAAAAAAAATGATTTGGCTTATTATTGTGACATTTATAACAATTCATTTGTCTTGTTTTTATTGATGGAAATTATGACATGTCTTGTTTTTAACACAAAAATTAAGATTACGTTTTTTTTGGATGGTTTATGCATTCAAAAAGTGGTTTGCTAAAATAATAATTTAAACAAAAAGTTAAAAATTTTAAAATATTTCAATTAAAATTTTCGAAATAAAGTGAAAAAAATCAATAAATATCTCAATAAAAAATTTAAAAAATCTAAAAAAAAGTTTTTTTATTTATAAATATAAAATAATAATACTAAATTGTAAAAAATAATAATTTGTATGAAATAGAATAATATAAGTAAATAATAATAATTCATTAAAACATGTAATATAAGGAAAATAGTATTAATTCTCAATTAAAGGAAAAGAAAAAAGAAAAGAAAAATAGAAAAAGTGTTTGAAAAAATAATTATTTATTAATGATTTAACGTAGGACAATTATTTTTGTTATGACCTGTTTTATGACAGATAGAACATCTATAATTTTCATTCAATTTTTTAAAATTTTCTCTTGAAGATCCATACATTCTCAAAAAAAATTTAAAAAATCAAAAAAAAAAATCATTACTTCTCTTGAAGATCCATACATTGTTGAATTAATTGGAAGAATCGATCTTTCAGTTTCACGAAATGAATCTTTTATTAAAAATTTGTATCAAAAAGGATCTGAACACATTAAAAAGCTTTCCGAAACAAGATTAATTCATAGCACTCAAGAAATAAAACTTTTTAAAGTATTATCTTCCTTTCTTGAGAAATTCAAAATGATAAAAGATCGATTTGGAAACGATTCATATTTACAGAAAGAATTCGAAAGTATTGGAATCAATTCATTTAATATTTTGAGATTTATTGAATCAAGAATGCATCAAGAATAGGCAAAAACATTTACATTCTTTTGCCAAAATGCTAATATTGATCAAAGTAAAATTGATCAATATCAAAAAGAATTTGAAAAAAAAAAAATATTTAATTCCATTATTGCAATCAAGTACCAAAGAATTCATGCTTAATGCATTAAAATTATATCAAGAAGATAAATATTTCTAAAAATATATATTATTTGCATATAATATTGAAAATTGGTTATGTTTAAATAGATAACTATAAATTTTTTTATTTATTTTTAAAATAATATTCAGAAATTTAATTGAATATTTGAGCATTTCGGGTTAGAAAAACGAGATATTTTGAATTACTCTTCAGAATATTTGAGCATTTAGAGCTAGAAAAACGAGTTGTTTTGTATATAGTTATTATTTAGATTTGAAATATTTTTATATTAATAAATATATCATAATTAGTAAATATATGTAGCTTTTTATAATATATAATTGTATATAAATATATTATATTTTTATTTAATATATATATCTAATTTTTAGTTATTTTCATTTTTACATTCCTAATAAATTAAAAATAAATAAACAAATATTCTTTATAACAGTACTAATATCTTATATAAGTATGATAATATAGGAAATATAAGGAAACAAAATACTTTTTAAATAATCATTAAAATATCTCTTTAACAATGCATTTATTGGCAATATGGTTAAATTAACTTTTGTTTAGTATTATATATAGAAAATAAATACATAAATAAATATTCATTTTATCACCAAAACCAAAATGTTTGGGGTTTTTATGTCACCAAAAAGTTCCATCATGTTTTTTATTTGGTCAAATGGCTATTGCATTTTATCCTAAACACCATAAAAAAAAATTGAAAAAGATTTCAAAAAATAAAACAAAGCTTTTTGATAAGAATTTTATCCAAAGGTTATTTGTTTTGTGAAAATTTAGTAAAATCATTGCTTTTTGAAATGAAATTGAGCCAAAAGAAAGTATTTTGATTTCAAGTTATATTAAAATATTGAATTCAATGTGTATAAAATTTTGCAAATATACGAACAAAATGATTTCTTTATATAAATTCTTTCAATTTTTCCAAGTTTTTTCCATTGAAAAAGTTATATTTCCAAAAAATATCCAATATGAATGTGAAATTGAAAGTTCAATAAATAGTTTCTCTCTAACAAAAGAATAGCTTATAATAATTAAAAAAAAAAATATTCATTTATTAGTAATTGTATTTGTTCTGAAAAATTAAAGGGTGTTGAATTTTTTTCCATTCAGAAAAAAAAATCATTTGTTTAAATAGACCAATGGGAAGAAGGGGAAAAGATTGGAAAAAGATCAAAGCATTTAGCATTATGTTGGATCAAGAAATTCTCACAATAGATTTGGATTCTCGTGAAAAAATTAATAAAGATATAGATATTAATATAAAGTTGAAGATTTCAAAAAATAGAATTGCTCAGGAAGATAACAACACAGATTCCAATGAACAAAATAAACAACCAGATGAGATTGTTCAGCAGAAATCTGATGATTTCTCAACAATTGATGATCCTTTTTTTGAAAGGCAGTGTTTTTTGATGGATTTTGATGATGCATCCCTTATAAATGACAGCTTTTTATTTGGATGTGACACTGATTCAATAACTGATTTTGATGATTATTAAGATTATAGTATTTATTATTTGTTAAGTGAAAAGAACTCTATCTAACATCATATAATGATATATAATTTATATATAACTTTAATATATAAATATTTGATTGAATATCTATTTTTTGAATTTTTTTTATTTTCAACTTTTTCAAACGAATCTCTCAAAATAAATTTCAATATTAAATGGGGACATAAAAGAATGCCTTTATTTTTCATAAAAAAGAATGTGGGTAAATACTAAAATAGATTATTGGTGTAGTTTTAAATTCTTTTTCTTTATGTTTCTTTAGGTTAAAACTTATAATGTCACACATCACTGAAAGTAATCCATCAATTTACAATTTTTCATGACATTATTGCACTAATCCAAAAAATCGGTAGTAAAAAAATGATTTTAATTAGCAATTTAAAAAAAAATACATAATATTTACTAAATAATGAAGCCGATGGCATTTTATATCAATTGTTGGAGGAAATCGAATATAACAGACATTTTTAAATTTAAAAAAAAAGGAAAAAAAAATAAATATTTTTTTTTTTTTTTTTTTTTTTTTTTTTTTTTGTATTCCAAATTGAAACTAAAGTAGCTTTTTCAAAAGTTTTAAGATGCTGAAATATAAAAAAAGAGCGAGAACACTCAAATTACAAAAATAAAAATAATCAATTTGGCAAATTTACCATAGCACTATACAAAAAGTTTCAATTCATAACTTTTTTCAATGTCACGAAACAGTTATCAATTATGAAAATATTTGAATCAACGATGTCATGAAACACAAAATAAAAAAAAAAAAAATGAGAATAAAAGCTTATAACTGCTTTTCTATGCAAATAATAAATTTATTTATTTAGCAGTTTTATTCAGATGGACCAAGAAGAAGATAATGAAGAATCAATAAATACAAATGAAAATGCTTTTTCAGAAAGGAATTCAGCTAAAAATCCAGAGTCCTCAAAAGACAGTCATTCAAAAGATATTATTATATATGTATATCAGCCATATATTAGGATAAAGCGCATTAAATTGGATGTTGATTGCCATATTTCAATTTTGTCTAGAGTATTTCCACAAGATTCAATTTACATATTTAATGGACAAATTCTAGAAATAAATAAAACTTTTTCTGATTACCAAATCATAAACGATAGTACTGTTGTATTGATTACACCTTTAATGCTGGCAGATGATTCGAAATTAGTTTTGAAATGGTCAAAAAAATCAAAAGATTTCGATGCTTTGGAAGAAAGAATAAATTTCCTCATTTGTTCTTCATCTAGAGAAGAACTTGCGAGAATTAAAGATATCAGAATTTTTAATAGAGAAATGAAAAGGAAAAATTATTCAAAATTTCTTGAATCCCGAGATTCATCACAACGTTATATAAATGAATTTCAAAAAGAAATCAAGTTGAAGATTAAATATCAGCCTGCAAAAGAGCCATCAGAAGATCCTTTTCCAATAAAATGGTAAAAGCATTTTCCCTGTAATTCTGCCCATATCAAAGTTCAATTTTTTGGAAAACTATGTTAAAAAGAATGAAATATCCAACCAAATATTATCTTGATATTAATAATTATTATTATTTATAAAAGAAGTCTTTTAACAAAAATTAAACTCCAAATTATTATTTTATAAAACTAATCATTAGAATGCGATGTAGAACAAGAGGTGGTTCATGAGGCTCATAACCTCAAGGGTGATGGTTCGAGTCCATCCATCGCACTTTTTTTGTTTTTTCAATTAAAAAATAAAGAAATTTTGATGATTTTACCACTTATAATGCCTGTTACTAGTGGTAATAATGCATTTTTACATTAAAAATGTGATTTAAATGTGAAAATAGAATTTCAAAGATATTGGATATTAAGTAAGAATCATTATTTTAATTTATATGAGAATAGAAACGATGCTAATATGACAAAAAAATAAAGAAATAAAAGTTTAAACTCTTTTAAAAAGGACATATTTTTGCTTGTGACATTTTTGAATACTCATTCAAAAATTGAATAGAGAAATGACTTTTTATCAGAAAAAAATTTTAATCTGGAAAGGATTTTTTTATTAGAATTTTTTTTAAATATGAAAATTTAACGAATCATATCATTTTATTAAAATGGGTCTCTTAAAAAAGCTCTTCAAGAAAGCTGAAAAAGAAGTTAAAAAAGCAATTCCCAAAGAAATTAGAAATGCAATTCCAAAAGAAATTAGGCATAGTGTAGAAAACGAAATCAAAAGAAAAGTAATTCCACGTGAAATTAAAGAAATATTTGATGAATGCGATAAAGCCACAATTAGCTTGGAATCCATTTTTTCAACTGCTGATGATCTGTATAAAATACATAGGAATGGTCAATAAAATATAAGTATCAGACGCTTAATTTCCATCCAATATTCAGAATCTTTTTTATATAAAAGCAAAGAGAAACAAATCTCAATTTTTTTTAGGAATGTTATTATTATATTATTATTATTTTTTTTCATATAAAAATGAATAAATTATTACCAATAGATCATTGTAATAGGTGGTGGAAAAGGTATGAAAATTTTGTTCTATTTAACCATACTTGAAATTCAATTGAATAAAAATAGTTGAGGATAGGGAGTCCAACAGCCAAAAAAAAGTCAATTTTTTTAAGAAAAAGGAAAAGTATGAGTTTTGATTCAAATAAATATAAAAAAAGTAAAGGTTAAAAATGAATAAAATACTTTTTTTTTTTTTTTAGATATTGAGATGCCATTAATACCTTTCAAAAGCAATTAACATGCATATGTCATACAGTTATAATACCGTAGCTTCTCTCATTATCAAAAGTAGTTATGACATATGCATATGTTGTAAATGTTTTATTTTCCATTTTTTCTTTTCAAAAAAGAGGTATTTATATATAACATAAGAATATAAAAATATTTTATTAATATAAATTTATAAATCTTTCGCCAAATTTTAAGATAAAACAGAGTAGGTGAAACTCTCTCAAAAAAAATTGCGTAAACTTCAGAAAAACAAACTTTTCGAGAATAAAATCTCTTTGAGTTGCACCTACTCTGATAAAACTAATTTTTAATTAATAATTGAATTTATTTTAATCGTTTTTAAGAATTCCATTGAATTTATAGGTTTTTAAAAGAATTTAAATATTGTCGCAATTTGGAGATTTGTTATATGATATTTGTCTTGAATGTATTGCATCACCTTTGCTCTTTCATTTATTCAATGATGGATGGTATATTTTCATATATGAAATTTAATCATTTTAATGATTCTGTATCTTGAAAGTTCAAATTACCTTCCATTAAACTATTAATTTCTTCTGCTATTAAATTTGTTTTCAAATCACATAAAAATAAATTCCATTTGGTATTTATATCTTCAATTTTTCGGCCAAAATATGTTGAATCCAAATCATATTTTATTAAAATTTCTTTTGCAAATTGCAGTTTGGCAAGGGAATTAATTGCAATATGGGCTTCATCTTTGAAATGAGACCTACGTCTCAAGTATCCCAAAATATATTCGACCAAATGGGTGAAAATGGGTGAAATTGTAAAAATATCGCTAAGTTTCTTTAATGCATAAGCAAAGGGATTAATATATTCATCGTTCGCCAATAAGATATATTTTCAGCAAATTTGACATCAATATGCGGCGATTTCTTTCCTTTTCTTGATCTCAAACTTTCTGAATCTGTATTCAATTCATTTAAAACAATATAAGTGATTTTAATGAATTAATATCTTGCTTGAGCTTTTAACGTTTCTGATTGAATAGCGATAGTCACTATGGTATACAGAAACAGGCAAGTAAAAGCCCATCGAAATTATCAATGCTAAATGAATCAATGAATTTACCGAAATTACAATGAGCTTCATTGTTTCCAGATTGGCCATATGTCGATACATAAATAAAATGAATGTTATGCTTCAGCAATTCGTTGAATAGCGTACTTTATCTCTTCATCTGTACGGTTTTCTGATTTTTGTGACCAATGCAAAATTTTTGATTTGATTCTCCCATCAAACGGCGGTATTAAAAACAATAGTACTAAAGATTTCTTTATCTGTGCGTAATTCTTTCCTGAATTCATCTAGTAAAAATGAAATCTGACTTGAATCCAGCAGGTTATTAACTTCACTTGTTAATTATGTTCCATATTCTTTATATAGCATTTGTTCACTTGGTAATGGAATGATAGATCTAAGAATTTTATAAATTATCTGAGAATGTAGAAATAATATATTTGATAAATCGTATATGTATACAGAATACCCTCTTCCGCTCGGAACTTCTTTGAAATTGCAAACCAAACTATAAATGAATTCTTCTGAAATATCTACAGGTTTTATTTTTTGATTTTGATCTGGACTGCATTTTTCATCCATTTTATTCAAAATTATGTCAATATTTGGACATTTCTCAGTTTTATTTCGAATAACTAAACGATCTATAAACCCTTTATTTCCAGTTTTAACATCTAGTTTTTGATTCTTAATTCTGAATTTTCATTCAATAAATTGTTTATTTGATGACTATCTTCTATACATATAATAACATCACTTTTTTCAGAATTTACAACATGAATTGTGTAAAAATTTTTATTATTTGAATCATTTTAATTTTTTATATATGATTAAATGATATTTACTTCGGATATCACTTCTAGTTTGAATGAGAGAAGAAATTTTTACCCATGAATTCTCTCCATATCTACCAACCAAATCGATCAAATATTTGAATCTTCTTCATTCAACCAAAAATCTATTAAAATGAATGGGTTCAAAGATCTATTCCATCTCTTGGGAGCAACTTGATGGATTTCTATTGTTTCCCACAATTTTTGATATTGATTTCCAATTATCCAATCCATAGACTATGGATTGAAATTTACCAAACGCCAATTGGCGATTTTTTTTTTTTTTTTTTAAAAAAAAAAAAAGTAACCATATTTCAATGAATTTTTTCTCCAATTTTTTTATTTATTTTTTTATTTATTTATTATTTATTACTAATTAAAAATTTTTCATTACTTTTCATTGTTGCTAAATTCATATCATATTTTCTAACGAATTTGATCAATTTATAACGGTCTTGATTAACGGTCATTTTTTCACTATTTCTGGACAAAAGTCTGTTTCAATTTTATGACAAATTTTTCTCATTATCCATTTGGAATAATTCAACACTTTTAATTAACCCTTGATATTAAAGCTATTTATTCATTTATAGCATTTGATATAAGTAATAAATAAAAATTTTGTGATGATGAGTAAAATTTAGAAAATTCAATTTTTTCAATTTAGAATGAATATTATCTTCATGATTGTTAAAGCATTTAATGAATATAATAGCATTAAATTAACTTACTGAAAATATAGGTAGAAAAGTTTTTTTTAACAAAATTTTCAGTAAATTATGAAATTCATAAAAGTCATAAAAATTCGATGCTCATAGTTAATAATCAAATTATTAAATACAAAAAAGATGTTATATATTGTATTAAATATTATTGTAAAGTATTAAGGACAAATTCTTTTTTCATATGAAGAAATCATTATTTTTCTGAAAAACAATTACATGAAGTAAAAATCATATATAAAAGATGTTAACTTCAAATAACCATTAAAATAGAATATGTATAAAGAATTATAGATTAATCAATTAAAAGTATTAAATTATTAAAAGAGTTAAATTATTTCAAGTTGTTCATGAGAAAAAAATATTAAAATTTTCAAAAAAGTGAAGCAGACTTTTGTCTACCAAACATAAATTAATTTATATATATATATAAAGGATTTTTAATTGAAATTTATTTATGAAAAAAATTTAGGGATTATGTGGTGGTAATTGCCTCATTGTAGTTTTAAAATCTTCACTAGAATTAAGCTTGCTTATGAATGCATTTTCAATAAGCATTTCGTTAACCATTAGTTTTTGATTGGTTCGACTCCTTCTATTGGGATATTTCCATTTTAGCCTTGAAAATATTCTCTCTGCTCCGGATTCGGAACCGCAAATATGATACAATCTAAAATAGAAAACTTCAAACAAATCAATTCATTTAATTCATTAACTGCTTTGTTAGCTTCATCTATGGTAAGATTTAAGTATTTATAATTTTGATAAATTAGGTTTGAAATATTGTTCCATTGAAGAGCTTCTTCAATTGATGTGTAATATGTTGTTTGTTTTTCCCCATCTTTTTCTTTTTGAAACTCTTTTCTTTTCTCTTCTTTTTCTGATTCTGATTCAGAATTTTGAGCTGTTGAATTGGTGGAATATTCATTTTCCATAGAGGATTCGTTTTTTTTATCATTAGATATAATACTTTCGATGTCAGATGATAATGATACATCAGAATTTTCTGTAGGAGAATCTTTCAAATTTGTTTCATTTGATTTATTGTTTATATATTGAGCTCTGCTTCTTGGTGACAAATCTTCAACATCTGATGACATTAAATTATTGGATATACGATTATTGCTGCTATTTTCATCTGAATCAGAATTTGAAAGATCGCTTGAGTTTTGAATGGCCCACTTTTTATTTTCTGATGAAGAGTCTTTCAAATTATTTTTTTCTAAATATCCGTCAAGTAATAATTGTGTTTTTTTTTTTTGGAGCCCTTTTTATTACTTTTTCTAAAATAGGTCTTAATACAGGGTGCAATTCGTTCCTTTTTCTAGTTTTAATAAAATCAATATCATCTATTTTTTTAAGAACTGAAA